CACGCCGCTTCCCCACCCCCTCCGGGGCCTGGTGGGCCGCAGCCTACCTGAAGTAGTCCATCTTGCAGAAGATTTCCTTGTTCTTGATGTAGCAGCTGTTCTGCTGCCTCAGCGACGTGCGACACACGGAGCACTCGAGGCACCGCACGTGCCAGATGAGGTTGTTGACCTGGGGAGGGGGGCAGAGAGGAGGGGAAGGGGGGGTTCGGCTAAACCAAGGGGCCTCTTTCAAGCTGGGCCCCAGCCTCCCCGGCCTCATTTGCAGATAGATGCTGAGGGGTCTGAAGACAGTGTAACTCCCCTATTCTGAGGATCGGGGTGGTGGGGGAACAGACACATCCTTCCCGTTTTCTAGTCGGGACCCGGGACCCAGCAAGGCTCTAATACTTGCCCCCAGCCGAGCAGTCGCGGCAGCGGCTTAGCTACCTCACGGATGGACACTGGCACACCCACCGCGTGCGGACTACAGTCCATCCCCACCAACCCATAGGTTAACCCCGAACCCTAAACCCACCTTGAGCAGATACCGGTCTAGGATCTCGAGGCCGCAGCTGGAGCAGATGTTCTTGCCCGCCGACGGCACGGAGGAGGCGGCCGAGGGCGGCGAGCAGACCGACGGCGTGCTAGGCGTGCACGGGGAGGCCCGCCCTTCGTCCTTGTCCAGGGAGCCAGCCAGGGCCTCGGCGTCCGACTGAGCCTGCAGTGGAGGCGGGGGCGGGAGGAAAAGCAGAGCCCTGAGCCGGGCGCCCATCGCGTTGCCTCCTGCCTGGGCTACAAACAGATCGGACTCTTCCTGAGCATCCACCCACAACGAAATAAGCCCGGGGCGCCGCACCCCGGGCTGGAGGACAGGAATGGGAGGCTTCAGGGGAGACGCAGGGACGGGCGGCAACTTTTAACAACGCGCTCCTCGGGTGCCGGGAGCGGTCAAAGGCCGTCTCTCCTGAGCCCGAGAAGCGAGGTTCCGAGAGGGGCGGCGCCCACCGGTAATAATCCTTCCCCCCACCCCCCTACTCCACCCCCCACCCCCAAAGGCAGGGGGCAGCGGTTGTTTCGTGGCCGGAAAGGCTGGGCCAGGTGCCCAGGGTGGAGCCGCTGGGGCCCGGGAGGGCCGTAGGCAGAGTCGATCGGACTCACCATGGCTGGCGGCGCGGTCCCTTCGAGGCAGCGGGTGGTCGCTTTGCAGCCGGACCCTGGCAGGGCCATCACCTGGGGGAGGGGGGGAGGGAGCGCAGGCGGTGGCGGCTGCCGAACGGGCTCGGCGCTGCCTGAGCCCAGCGCCTCCCCGCGCCTGTTATATAAACCCGGCGCCGAACAATGAGTCCTAACTTTGTAGTGGGCATTTAAAGCCCTTCCCCACAAAAGCGGTGTCTCTCTAATGAAGCAATTTGAATTTGGATTGGATTTTTTCCCCCTCTCCCCTCTCTCTCCCCCTCTCCCTGCACTTAACCCGTGGCTCTTGAAGTAATCGCTTAGTTCCCTTGCAATCCAAGCCTCTGAGGGGGGGAAAAACACGCGCACACACACAAACTACCTGCAATTAGAAATTGTCGTGAATGCCCAAGATAAGAGGTAGCCAGAGTGTCAATTCCAACTGTCAATCAGTGAGATCCATCAGGCCGCCCAAAGAATTGCAAATTTGATTTTTTAATGGTAGTAATTAAAAATCGAATTTTTTCTCTCTCCACCCACCCCCCCTCTCCTCCTCCCCTTCTTCCTCGCTCCCTTCTCCTGCTCTCCGCACAAAAATGCAAAAAGGAGAAGAGAGAGAGAGAAAGAAAAGAAAAAGGAGCTGGGGGTGGTGGTGGTGGTGATGATAGTGGTGGTGGAGGAAGATTCAAAAAAAAAAACAAAACAAAACAAAACCCACAACCACCCTGGAGCGCGGGAGCATCGGCCGACGCGCGCTGCGGAATCGAAGCCACGAGATGGACACGGATTTAGGCACTTTTCGAGGGCCAGTTCTCGGCTAACCCGGAGCCCAAAAGGGCGAGAGCGGGGACGGAAGGGGGGGGGGAGAAGGAGGGCGGAGGGAGGGGGAAACGTGGATTCCCTCCCCCCACCCCAGGAGAAAAGAGAGGCGTCCAAGAGGAGGAAAAGACAGCCCGCAGCCCGTCGGCGCGCCCGGGACCGGCCCCGCGTCGCGATTCTCAGCTTTGCGTCCGTGCAACCCCCGGCGCTACGACGCTATCAGCGCCTATTCAGACGGACAATACCAGCCTCGCCTCCTCTTGATTCGCCTGTGTCTTTGCTAAATCGCTTTTTGAGAAATTCCTCTAACATTTGCATAATGTCTTCCCGCTTTCCGCGACCCCCCCCCCGCCGCCCCATTCGCGCTCGTGCGCTCGCTCGCGCGCACACCCGCACACACAACACACCCGCGTCCTCCCTCCTCCCTGCCCGCCCGCCAGCCAGCCACCGTGGGGGGGGGCAGGCTCGGCTGGGGTCCCGGGCTCTGCGGGGAGGCCCCTTAGTCCCGGCCCGCTCACCCTCTCCGGCTGGTTGGCTCGCTCGCTCACCTGGTCGGTGGCGGGGCCGCCCTCGGCCGGCAGCCGGCAGCCCTCGGGCAGCGCCGGGGCGGCGTTCTCATGCTTCCAGTACATGGGCCCCGGAGTGGTGGAATCAGGGGGATCGCCTCGCCGAGGGTCGCGCCGAGGGGGCCCCCGGCGGCGGGGCGGGAGTAGGTGGAGGGTGGCCGGCGGGTGGGAAACAGAGGCTGCAGCAAGAACCGGAGGACGAGAACTGAGGCTCCGGCCCCGCGGACCTGGGCCCGGCCCCAGCCCCGGCCCCCGGCCCGCGCGCAGCTCTGGCCTTGCTGGCTGCTGGCGCCTCTGCCTCGGA